AAGTAGAAGAGAGAGTTCAGGAACAAGGGGTACCTGAACAGGGAAGTGTGCTGAGAGAAAATGTAAGTGAGAGGGGTGAACAGGTTGGGGGAGCTTCTKATCAGCAACGCACTTTAACTGCCAGAGCTTCATCTAGTTCGGAAGCTACTGAATCAGATAATCGAGTAGATTCTGGTGATGATGAAAATGATGATGATGATGATGGAACAAACTCTCAGAATATTCCTGTTGGAACGTTTGTGGATGATCTTGCTACGATCTTTCCTGAATATTCAGCTCAGCAACCTTGTCCGAGTCTACGTTCTTTATCATTTAATGTTGATGAATGTGATGATTATGATCGCATTCTTCAAGATTTATCAAATTAAGGAGAAGATGAGGGAGTTGAAGTTGAAAATGAAGAGCAATTGAGAGAAAGGGAAGAAAAAGAAAATGGAGAGGGTGTGAGTGGAGCAGAAAAAGAAGATCAAGCTCCTTTCCAAACTGAAACACTTAGCCAGGCAACCACATCTATTACTGACATTCATGTGTTGAATGTTAGTATTGAAGCAGACATAGCTAACCCAGCTATGCATTTGCACACCCCTCCTATCCACTCAATTGGTTCTCAACAACCAATTGTTTCAATTTCACATGGGGATTTAGCTCATACGCTAACTACTTCTCAATCGGAGAATGTAGTTATTCAAACAAGTAGGCCGCTGCCCCAGCCTACGAGTTCGATTCTGTGCACCTCGAGTCTAGAGCCGATACACTTAGGTACAATGAGTCAGGAGCATCTATTGCTCCAAGTGCAGTTCTTAGTGAACTAGCTGGAACGACAAGAGTGATGTCATTTGACATTTCACAAGGACAGGTCGGAAGTCCTACCAATGCTAACATTTTGCCAACATTGAACGTAGGCACATCAGTTTTCTCAACTGTTGTTTCAACTGGTATTCTACGTGAACCAGGTGTGAGCTTACCTGACTTTGTGTCAAGGGAATATTTGGACGGAGCCCTAAAGGCTGTTCAAGAAAACTTTCACGGTCAAATCGCTAGTTTGAAGAGATTGTTGAAGGGTAAAGAAGTTGTTGTAGAAGAGCCACCATCTGCGCCATCACCACCACCTGTACCTGAACCGTCAGTACCAGATCAATCGGTGGACGAGCTGAAATCTCTTCTATATGCTAAGTTGATGTCTTCTCAAAGTGAAGACGTTGAAGATGCATATTTGGTTGGTCTCTTACGCCAACATATTGATACTAACCCTGTAATTAGAGCCTCAGAGTTCTTGACTTTTTAGGATGTGATTGAAGCTAGTTTTTCTAAAGTCAGCAACTTAATCACATCTCATTCCCAAGATCTGAAACGTTCAATGGATGCTCTTGTTGAAAGGGTATCTATACTTGAAGAAAATTGCAAGTCTCAAGCCACATCTCTTAAACGAAGACATGACGATCAGGATGATCCTGATAGTCATGAGGGGGAGATGAAAAGACAGAGATTGGCTAAGACATCTCAACTAGGTGCAAGGATGGGTGAAGAGTCATTAGCTCAGGACATAACTGCTGAAGGTTCTGCCCCGGAAACAGTTCAGGAAAGAATAATTAAGGTTGTTGTTATTGAAGATGAAGATGTGGAGACAAGTCCAAGGATCGAGCCAATGGTTGAAAAGCCGGCGGACTCCACA